AATAAAACCTGCATAATTTCTAACGTGATAAACTCTCTATTTCATAATTCTCCGGATGACTGGGAGAGGATTTGGTCCACCAATTGTACGTTTTAATTGTGATATCAGACAGCACTTTCTACTTCAGTGATAGTGGCACTAGGTAGACACTGTGTGGCCACTAGAAACTGTTTTGTATTTGCCGAAGTTAAGCTCGAATAATTTTAAAGCGAAAAATCCTATTTGAGATCAACGATCAATATAAAAAATATTATACGGAAGGTGTGTTACTAACGCAAGCTACGAATTAGTGGATTCTCAATGTCACATTTGATTAATAAAAATGAAGGGTATAATAAAATTAATTGACCAGAATTAGTGTAGAACTGTAGAGATGGAAATTGCACTCATGCTCAAATGCAATACGTCGGCTTCATTACTGGCCGGTGACTGATGCCCTAGTGCTACATTATACTACATACTAAATTATACTACACTTGGACATAGCATCAGTTTTACAACACTAACATTAATCAACTCGAATCGAACGAGGGACCTTTAGTTAATAAGCAAGCTTCTAAATGACCTAGGTATCGGAAACGTAAAGAGACTAAACTTAGTTACACCTAAGGATAAATAGTTTTATAATAATCATTTATTTGCCTTAAATAGGGTACAATTTGATAGTAATTAATTAAAAAAAGACAATTTAAGGATAGGGGTAGTACTGCGAATACAAAATAAATTAAAAATGAACTTAAACTTTTTAAACTTAAATGAATAAACAGTATCATAGCGATTGTATTTAGTTTTTTACAAAAATAAAAAAATACAATCACGACAAAACCGTTAATAGGTTGTTTCATTTATATGGATAGTGCGCGTGAAAATATAATAAATCAAGTCTAAACTTTTTTATTATAAATAATTCTTATTAGTGCGTTTTTGTATGGATAACTAAAAAAATAATAACAGTATCTCACTGTGCGTTTGTGTCTATTCAGAAAAAGTAAAAAATATGAACAATTAGGGAGAAACGCTTATTATCCGCTTTATCTATTAACGAAACATAAAACACCTGTAGTAGACTTATCAACTGAAAAATATCCGTATTACAGTGACTCAGCATAGACATAAGTAACAAACTTTGAGCCTATAACATTTGGACTTTTACTGCGCCTGTCTAGACAACATAAACTTCCCAGTTTTAAGTAGAATGGGGTAAACGTAAAGGCAACAGCCTAAGGGCTAAGTAAAAAGAAAAAAACTATAGAATAAGGAGGAACATCTACGCATTTATTACAAACTAGCTTTCGCCAGCGGCTTCGCCCGCGTGGACCCTAAGGAAATGTTTAGTGGGATAAAAAGTATCCTATTATCTAAGTCAGCTAATACCCTATCTGTATACCAAATTTCATCAAAATCCGTTCAATAGTTTCTACTTGATTGAAGGACAAACATCCAAACAAAGAAACTTTCGCATTTATAATATTAATAGGATAAATTTGATGTGATAAGGATAGTATTTCATTTTAACGTTCACTTAATGATGGTGCTGACAGACTACTAAACCATTCGTCCCAAAAAAAAACCAATGATCGTAACACATCATAATTACAATTAATACAACTAACTACTATAACAACAAATTTTTATTGCATACCGAATGTTTAATTGTATGTTTATTTTTGGCATAAATAAAGAATTATTATTATTAAATCACCATCATATTTAATGACGTCTTGTTCAAATCAAATAAATACTCGATTTTTAAGGTTTTCCAAAAAAAAATCAAAGCAAACTGATATATTTTTAAAAATTTATCATAATATAATATTAACATAATGATATATTAGAAATTGTCAACACTATCTATTGTTGTGTGTATTTACGAGTGTCGTATCGGTTAGTACAGGGGTTACTTGCTCTATGCTTTTACATCAGCTGCACCTAACCTAATACTACAACCCTTTCTATTTCAAAATCAGTAATTTTCGATGGAAATAAGTACAATATGTGCTCCTAGCTGTTACTTACTAACAGTTATTTAGTACTAACTTAGCGCTTAATAACGAATATTGAAAACAATTAACTTTACGATATGGATAATGAAATCCTATTGAAAATTATTTAAACTTTGTTGTTTTTACGGAGGTAAGTAATGCTGTACTGATCAATACAAAAATTGACATCTAGGTTCGGTACGAATTTCATCAGTGGATTTGTCGTGTTAAAACTCATAGACTAAATAAGACAGAAAAAGTAAAACACATTCAGAATACTGTGAGGCGTTACCGCATACCGATCGATTTCTGTTACGAATTTTGGTATCTATCAGCAGTTTCATAGTGACCGGTTGCAGAAACGACTTACTCGACTGAAATATATGTATAAATCCGCCAAGTGTAGAGAACAGGTATTGCGAGATGTGAGATAATGCTCTTATGGAATTTTCTGATTACATAACCATTTCTGTATTACCCGCTGAATAGTTCCAATTAAAATCTTTTTAAATGATGTTGTCGTTTAAAATTAATAAGTACAGATTCAATTAAAATAAATAAAAATATTGGACATCATATGTTGAAGCACTAGACGGCACCACTGTCACCACAAACGGTAGTTATTTTTTTCTACAGACTGCGAGAAGTAAAATCCAATTAGATGTGCACAAAGATTAGTAAATAATGCTTACTGTTACAGAATGTAACTGAAAAGAAGAATAAACTGTTACAGTGAGAAGATTGTGACGTCAATCGGCCGAAGACGTAACTTATGGATTCGATGATGACGTATGACGGCTTGTTCGTGTTCTAATGTTTGGCACAACGTATCCTAGTTTTTTGGTAATACCAGAGGTAATACAAAACTGTTTATTTTTGAAATCAATTATTTAAACTTTGGCATACCAAAACATTGAAACAATTGTTCTTCTTATCGGCCAAAAGTCGTTCTGACGCGTGGCAGGGAAAAAATGTTGGACGATTCAAAAATACTTTTAATAAGTCTATATGAATAAAGATTATTTTGAATTTGACCTCAAGGAACATTATTGATTGATTATTTTTATTTGTGAATTTTACCAATGATATAATTAGAAATAGAACCAGATTTCTGCCAACAAGCTTCAGAAAACCAAGAAAAATACATATAGTAAAGAGTTAAGGAGACAGCAACAACTCCAAACATATCAAAAATCTTTCAAACAAACTCGCACACTGCAAAAACAAAATGTCGGCCAGTGATCTATTCCAGACGATGATAAAACTCGTACGAACGTGAAAGACGTACAAGGCATTAAGTCATACGTAAATATAACATTAGCTGACGGATTCGTTTCGACTATTAATTGCATCACCTTGCTTTAAAATAACTATCCATTGAATTACCTATAACAAACACATCGCTTAACAATTGCGTCTGTTTTGAGCGCTGCATCACTGTCTAAAAGAGGATGTCTATCATAGGCAATTAAAAACATATTGTACCAAAGAAAATTATGATAATATAGTAATATAATATAAAAGAAAATGTTCCTAGACTTTCATTGCATCATTCGCATAGCCTGTAATGACGTTTTTCTCTTCCGATTCCATAATTTATTGCGCAATAAAAATCTTAACAACTCTGTCATGTTATGCATAAATCTTTTCTTGTATCTATTACATTCCTTTCATTCATACTTATCCTACCAAGTAAAAGCATAAAATTTAATGCAATAAAATTATGCAATTGTATGTAAAAGAAGTAGAACATCTATCTATATTTTAACCGCGCCGCAATGCAGATGGACTCCTGCACCTGAATAAAGGGTTCACGAAAGCCCCGTTTATACAGACAAACGTTGAATACCCAATTTTGCTTTCATATCATTCGGAATATTCAAGTTATCAACGGCTTTTTTAAGTGTTTTGTATTCATTTTGGTAGAGCAGGCTAATGGTAGGCAAAGGTATTAATAATATAAAATTTCTTGATATCTTTAAGATGGAATAGCCTAAAATATTTGTAGATGATTCCTTAACTTAAGAAGCCCTACAACGACCATATTTCACCAATTCAGTAATCTTCAATAACAACTTAAAACTATAATAAGGTTTAATATATTAAGGTTTATTTTATATCGTACATACCTAAATACGACTTAGGAGACATTAATGGTATTAACTACGAATAATCTGTGGCGTATTAAAACCATAAGTTTTGTCTGCGACCCTTTGGTGCCTCCCTACCCCTCCCACACCCAGACAAAGGGGGAGGTCGTCAAAAGGGAAAACGATGATATTGCTTTCAGCCGGATACAAGTTTTCCGCACTCATATAGTTGACTTAGTACACAACTCGAAAAGATTATAACCAAAAAGAATCAAACCCAGAATATAACGGCCATTTTATAATAATGTATCATTCATTACTGTTTGTAACATCACCGATTTTTATAATACCTACGCGACTATTTCTCAAAGGTGAATTATTATAATTTTATTCAGAAATATAAATTAATACCGGATATAAAAATAACAACACAATTTTTGATAAAGTATTGGTACGGTAACTGTTAGTATTGGTTCCTATATACAGAGCACACAAGGTAGGACATAAAAGCTAGTTATAAGAAGACTATAAAGGTAAGGAACTATTTCAGACGACCCACGCGGTTTGTAAATTTGTCCTTCGCTTGAGCATTTAGTACCTACAGTTCACACTGACACCACGTCGTTAGACTGACGTACAAATAATCCTATTTCGATCCAGATCCAGACATATCTGAACGTTGAACCTATAAGCCACCCTGCAAATTACCTAATGAAACTATAAATACCGAGCCCGTGACTTTAAAGTACCTGTTATTAAAATCTCTGTAACAATTTCGCTCAACTTGGAAAAATGAAGTTGATATACTTTTGTAAACAAATATCAAACAAACGAAAACGAATCAGTGTCATTTTTAAATGTAAAAAAGCTATTTTTTTTTCTTACAAACCTCACTCTAATTTTGTAGAAGTACCAGGCAAGCAGAACGTTAGTGGAGTTTGGACGCAATAGCGTACATATTCGCGTGGGCCGGCGCCCCCTCCACCCCTCTAGGGTCAATGACTGCTGCGGTCGTTTCGGCCGGCGGGCGGCGACGACGGCGCGCCTCACCTTGACATTCATCTCGAGCACAACGCTTTGATCAAACGTTTGAATTAACTAACAACACAATCAGGAGTTTTGCTATACCGTAGAAGACACAAAAATGTCTGATGTGCAAAAGCTAACGCAAAACATTCCAATATACGTTCATACACACAACGACGCAGCGTAGCAATTACGAGATAAATTGTCGTCAGTCGACATTAACATGTATTCAACGACGAGATTTTGCATTTCTAACGTGATTTAAGAGATAATACTCGACCACATTGTTCTGAGCTGCTGACAAAATGCGTGACCAAACAAAGCGTACTAAACTCGTTCTTTGATACAAAGTGGACACGTAAAAGGACACGACTTGAATTGGAATTCGAACGTCACACTAATCCATAGGTGGCCAGCCGAATATAATTCAGTCTCCGCACCTTAATACGACAGACCTGTCATAAATACCTGCATCCTTTCAATATAATATGAAATATGCAGTCAAGTTGGTACCTAGAACAGACTGTAGATTGAATACATGATTTCCAATACTTCGATGAATTAACAATACACTTTATAAATTCGCGAATTCGCAAGTCTATCGCGTAATTCGATTGGCTTCGATTTGAATGGCATCTAATCACTCAACGTTCAATACTGTATTGAACAATTTTACAGTTTTACCTTACAACCAAACCATATCGAAGTCAACCAAGTAACGAGGTAGGCCTGCTAAGAGAGAAATAACTCTATCGAGATAGTCTAGGGACAAGCGCTTCATAATGATTTAAAAATTAAGCTTGGATATATTAGCATGACGGGACCTACCCATCTTAGAAATACCGACAGCATTCTAACGATGTCTAATTATTGCGGTATTTAGTTCACTTAGACAGATAGCCGCCTTCGAAAAATCCCCTTAACTGTTGTTTGCCTAGTAACCATGTAGTCAGCCAAACACGCGAAAACTTTAAATCATGGAGATCCATGTTTTCGCGGATCCAGGATACTAGGAGGCAGAAGATACTTTGACCTTTGAAATAAGAGCTAAGAGCGGTTCCATAGCAACCAACGTATGAGTCGATAGTGCCGCGCATCCATCAGTATATGTATCAGTATATTTAGACAGCTATGGCGACCCTCTATTATTTAAAATTACAAGTAGGTAAGTCTTCTTGTAGAAATGAGTAACCAGGCATTCATTTAAGTATAATCAACAGCAAGTCAGGTTATACAAATCTGTAAACTTGATATTAAAAGTAATGCTCTAAGAGTAGAATTGAAAATCAATTGAGAAAATTTGACATATAGCCTGATACAAATACGAGAAAAACGGAAATAATTCGATATAAGCCTGGAATATGTTTAATCGTGTTTGTGAGCCAATTACAAGAGACTATACTTAAGAATCCATCTCATTTTAGCTACGGAAGGTATAAAAAAAAACATCAGGTCAAAAAACCTTCATTTATTCACGCAAAATTACTAACACGATTTTTTTCACAAATTTTGGTTTTATTTATCATAGCGACAATGAAAATTACTGAAATCCAACTAAAAAAATTACAGGAAATAGTGATTTTTATTAAACTTTATTTTTTACTTAATTTTTTTTGTTGTTGTAGTTTAATATAATAAAACTTTTATTTAAATATTTATGAGTGGTTTTTAATGATATTTAGTAGAATATGTGTTTCACTCAAAAGTCTGCTGCATATATTGCGTGTTATATACCAATATTCCACGGAAATATTGGTATGCAATATTCCCATGGAAATTTTCATTGGATTCAAAACAAAATATACTTAACGCAATTTAGTAATATCGATTGAAGTCGTATTTCATTGTTAATATTATTGATATTTTTACAAATATTTTTTAAATATTTATTGTCCGTGTTATATAAAAATATGAGTTTCCAAATATAATATTAGGAAGATTTATGTATTTAATGGAAGTAACATAAGTAACAGCGTGAAAATACGTAGAAGTCACTTTATATGTATTTTGCTTATCCTGCCATTGAGAAATTAAAGGAATTTTATTTTTTTACTAATAATCCGAAAGAAAATATCGTTGGATTAATTCATATATTAAAAAAGAAATATATGATACCCTCATAATAATAAAAAAACAGCTGTTATGTTTTAATGTTTGATCTCCATACTGAAAGTTGCTATTTGTATCAGGCTAATATATGGTACCTACATTATAATATGCTAGGATTTTTTAATACGAAGATAATTAACTTCAAACAATTTAGATTTTTTGCATGAATAAAATAGTATAAAATAATTTCATAATTTACAGTCGAAAATCAATCAGACGTTATAAATTCAGTACCTACTACTATATTATAATTAACTTTACAAACTCAGTAAATTTATAAAATTTATATGCAACATGTTTCATATAATACTTGACCTAGCTACGAAACAGGATAATATTGGAAAAGACGTCACATATTATAAAAGTTCAGCATAACATACATTAATAATTTTATTATATGGAGTAGTGAATTCAATGTTCAACAAAACTATATATTACTGAATTGGTATATTCCACCAATGAACATCTTCACATCATAATAGTCTCAAATAGTGACAGATTGCAAACCTGACTCCTAAATAGGTAATAGTGAAATAATTTAGATTTTACAAAGACATGAATCAATGTTGTAAAATAGATAATTTAACAAAAATAAACTTTAGTAGTTGGAACAGTTTTAAGAAAGAATTGATGAAAACAAGCACACACCTTTGTATTCACATTGAAGAATTATTATCTATTATTGTGTTCAAATATTGTCATTAAAGATAGGAATTCTGTCAGTTTTTTTAACAACAATTAATATTTTGTAATCACAGTCAAATCAATCAATTAAATATTTGTAAGTCATAAATTTTGTGATTAATCTATTCTTTAATTGAAAATATAATTTTATTGTATATGAAAGCTACCTAAAAATTATATACCTTTGCAGGATGTCACAAGATATATATATATAAATTAATGCCAATTTTCCTTGTTCTCACGTGAACGGCTCGACCCATTTTTCTAAATCTTTTTTGTTGTTTGTTATTGTCAGGAGAAGGTTCTTATAAAATAATATAAAATAATTTCTAATCTAACCTTAGTGCTTGAGATAATATAAACTTTTTTAATATAACCTTATGATATTTGAAATAAAATTGACAGAATGCATGCTGCAAATATTAAAATTTACTTGACAATACAGAATAATATCTGTTGGATTATGAGTATACAATAAAGATTTTTTGGATGGTAGAAATTTAACCATTAGATTTTTAAGATTTTATTTCTGATTACACAATAACATGAGTTGTATCAGTTTTGATAAAGCATCTGATTTTGAAGTAGTGATGGAGATATTTATAGTTGTTTTTTAATCACAAACCAGAAGAAGTTAGGGCTGCATTCAAAAGTGAATCATAATTCAACTGTATAAGTTCCAACAACTGTGAAATTTGAAATTATTTAATTACTAATTGAAAATGCCACATTATATAAAGATATTGCCGGGGTCATAAAAATCAATCAGTCATTCTCCACCTTAAAAGTCTTGGTAAATTAAGTCTGCATTACAAAAAAGGTAATGCATGAATCAAAGTAGCCTTATCAGGATTTCAATAATATGAATGGTTCTTTTCTATGTATTTAATTTGTCAGTACTAATCATTTGAAATAATAAAGAAATTATGATGACGACTTCAAGACAAATTTTAACTTAGATTTCCTACTTTTAAATTAGGAAGATATATTTTATTTAATAAAAACCAACAAAAAATGTAATAAATATGATACCTATATATAGTATATTAAATGTATTGAAAGTAACTTGACCAAAATTTTATATTAACATAATAATTTAATATGAAAATCAAATGAATATTATCTCCTGATAAAGTTATTAGATTACAAATATCAGTTAATAAATGAAATATCTGTGATCAATTCACATGATTCATTAAGTTATTACAAAGAAAACTTTGTAAGTATAGGTACATAATATTTAATGTAATTCTTTATCAGAATATAACTATCAAAACAGGATCCAAGTGTAAATAGTTTTTCTTATTAATATAATAAATATGTTACTGTACTATATAAATGAGGCAAATAAAAAGAAATAAGACACCAAGTAAGCTTTGGTCTCCGAGCAACGTGAACTAAGCTGATACCAAATAGTTTACTTAAATGACTTTATATTTGGTTAAGTGTGAGTCATAAACTGATTTCATACACCTTGACAAAAAATGGTTTAATACTAAGAATAGATGGTTTATATTTAAAAATATTTCCTTATAGTTTAGTTTAACCAAATAAATTACATGATATCAGGTTATTTTAGTATCCAATTTTTATATAATTGTGTTAGTAAAATCAGGGAAACCTTAAATAAGTAATATAAAATTTATCAAAGGGTACTTACATAAATAAGGCCAGAATAGTATCTGTCTTTGATGTTGTGCAACACAGAAGCCTCATTCAAACATGTTAGCTCTGCCATATCCTCGACCTTGTCAAACTTGGGTGGATTCATCTTTTGTATATCATCTATTGGTACCAACATCCTCTTTCCAGACTCAGCAATCTCCACCTCGACTTCATCTCCCCGTTCCCCCTTTATCCCTGCTGCGACAAAACCCTGGGTCTCGTGAGGCACCCATACCAATCGCTTCTGGGTCCATTCTGCTTGCGTTGCAGGGTCGTTGAAACTGTTCCTATCAACCGACAGGTACCGGAGTTCCGGATCGTTCCTATCCATGTCCACCATCGTGCCGCCCAATCACGCCGCGCGGCCCGACAACCGATAACCTAACACCGGCACTGAATACCACATTAAACGGTCGCGGCGACCGACACTGCACCTCACAACACACTAAATCCTTTTAAATTATCACCTCGCGTTGTTCTACCACACGTTGGGCCGTGACCACACACGGCAACGTTAAGTACAAAATAGCCCTACGTAGTTTGTGGTACAAAACGATGAACACCGAGCAAGCGACTGTGAGGCGAGGCGACCGACCGACTGACAGATCATAAACGGTTATTACGGGTAGAAGGGATGGACCGTTCGGTCGACGCCCGAATATTCACTTCGAACAGAACCGAATTTCGTACCAACTTTTAAAAGTGTATTGAAGTGAAAAAAATTATAGAACCGAATTCTAATCTTGGTAAAATGAATAAATCGCCACTTTAATCAAATCATCTTGACTTAAAATAAAATATATTTAGCTTAAAATCTAACTTTCAAGTACCGAATAAAAATAAAAAACCATTTTTTTTTTCAATTCTCGGAGTTAAATTTCTTTATCCATGTCACATTACAGACTCAGTGATAATTGGATATTATTTAAATTAAAAACAAAACCAAAAAATTAACCAACCAACAACATTTTGTAACTGACAAATAGGAAGTATTTAAAAAATAAAAAATAATTCTTGAACTCAAACTAGATGTCACTAGCGATGTTTGGATCTTGTCTATGATATTCATTCTAATTTTATTTCTGACGTAATTATAAAAATAAAACGAAAGCTCTAAAAAGCACCTTCACTAGATGGCGACTCTAGCAAAAGTCAATACAAATACGAAAAAGTACAAATAGAATATGAGTTGTTAAATGAATTTTGAAAACTAGTTTACTTTTAAACTTAAAAGAAAACCGGAAAGGTTGTCATGGAGAAATCAAATTGACTTCGGAAACTAAACATTAGTTCCCGAAATCAATTTGAATTAATACTTCCTTATTAGAATCGAGTATCGAAAACCTTATTGCGTATCGAAAATTAATAAATATGCAATCGTTTCGTGTTTCTTTTTAAATCTAACTTTCAAATTACTTTATTTAATTTAAATCATAAGTTTAAATTATTAATTATGTTACGTGTAAAGGAACGATGTTTGGTTTATAAGTCAACATTAGTGATGAGCCAACTTATTGTTTGCTCGTAACTTCAATTGACTCGGTTCATAAGAATTCAGGTTTGGAATCAAGAACAAAAAGCAGAACTCTGAATGCATCTTGTGTTTTTAAATGTACAGTATTCCCATATCTATATCGAATTTTATCAATATACATATCAAAATTAATTCAGTCTAGGGTGTCACATAGTACTCGTGAAAGTTGAAAACTTTGCCAACAGTTCGCATAACTAAGGCGGGAGATCTTGTACTGAGAAGAACAGGCAAGAAACTCAGCAAGGGCTGCTTTTTTCTCCCAGTTTTATTTCACACGGAGAAGTCTTATTGGGATGTAACTTAATTAGACGATGAAGTCACATTCCATTACAATATCAGAAATCCTACAATACCATTAACAAATCAAGATACAATATTCACAATAAAAGAAAATGGATAAAATTAAGTAATCCAGTTCAGAATTACTTAATTTAAGTAATACAATGCCCCCACTGGTAGCACCCGAAAGTAAACATAACGACCCGACGCACACGACATCACCGCATGACTACTCTAGGTTATAAATAAGTAATATATTTCAATAAAACTGATTTCTAGAGTAAGTTGAGTGGGAAGTCAATCTATTTTTGACGATATTATTATAAGAACCAAAAAAGCACACACCAAAAAAGAATTAACATAATATCTAGTCGACGTCCTCCGTCGATATGCAAGTATGTATCAGGAAATCAAATTACGTTAAAAACCATGTACTGAAACCAATAAGGAAAAGCACTTGTTTAAATTTGATTACAAGTAACATAAAAAATATTCTAAGAACTGGGATACATTATTCATGTCTTTCAGATCATGAATCCGCCCAAAGCATTACATTAGAATTAGATGATTCCTCAACAAATAACATGAAATTAAATTATTGGTTTGAAAACATTCAGTATTTAAATAAAGATAATAAAATGAAGTTTATTAATTGTGTTAGATCATATTCATTCAATGATGTAATGGAAGAAAAAATACTGAACAGCTTTTGAGTGTTTTTATGAAACCATTAAACTATTTTATAATTTATGTTTCCCGTATATTAGTATAAACAAAACTACTAAAATAATTAAAAATAAATGGCTCACAAGAGGAATCAAAAGGTGCTGCATAAATAAAAAGCGCCTTTATCTACAGTACCATCTTACCTCATCAAATAAAAGATATCATAAAAATAAATATATAAGATACTCAAAAATATTAAAAAGATGTATTGCTCAGGCACAAAAGCATGCTAATCTGAAGTATATCTCAAAATCTAATAATGTATGTAAAGCAATGAGGGATATTATTAAAAATACTAACCAATACAATAAAGATAATATCTGCATAAGTAACATTATATTACGGCATAAGTAACATTAAATTACAAAATCACGAATATTTAAATAATCCAAATGAACTTTGCCATGAATTCAATAAATATTTTATAAATTTGACTAGTAGGTTGCTACTTTGACAGTAAAAATTATCACAAAAGTGCCTTAAGTAATATACCATTTCACTGTAACACGATTTATCTAAGACCAACAAATGAAAAGGAAATTTACAATATAATAATGAGCCTTAAAAATACTTCGTCGACGGGATATGATGACATTAATACTAAAATTATATAACAAATAATCAATGACATACTTCGCCCTCTAGTTTATATAATAAATTTGTCCCTGGTGCAAGGTTGCTTCCCATCAAAGTTAAAGTACTCAATGAATAAGCCACTATATAAAAATGGCATATTACTATTGCATATTACTTTAATTCCAATACTATCAAAAGTATTTGAGAAAATAATGTCAGATAGATTATACAACTTTTTAAAACATACAAGATACTAAAAGATGAACAATTCAGTTTCAGAAAACCAAATCCACGACACTGGACTGCTTTGAACATATAAAAATTGTTACTGTACTGTATAAGGTGTTGACGTTGGAATGAATACTCTCGCGATATTTCTAGACATGAGTAAGTACGTCTCTCATTCTCTCCCATTGAAAAAACTTTAAAGATATGGTTTAAGAGGGATAGCTATGTCATGGATAGAAAGTTATTTGATAGATAGGCAAAAACGTGCACAGATTTCAAATATTGAAAAAAAAAGTAGTATACCAATCCACTTACCGCGTTAATAAGACAGGAGTACCACAAGGAAGTGTGCTGGGCCCTTTACTCTTTCTTATCTACATAAATGGCCTCTCAGATATGACAGAACATAAATGTATACTATTTGCCGACGATACAACACTTATTGTAGAATGTCAAAGTATTAATAAGATGAGTGAAGTTACAAATAAATCCCTCTGTGAGGTAATAGAATGGTTAAACGTTAATAATTTAAAAGTAAATTTATATAAGATTAAATATATATTATTTAAAACACGTTATATTAATTATTGTAACATTAATAACAATAATATGGATATTCATTATAACTCGGAAAAAATTAATGAAGCAAATATGACAAAATTTCTGGATATAACAATTGATGATCAATGTAACTGGAATTTACATATAGACTCAATGATGCTTAAACTTGACAGATTTGTATTTGTGCTAAGAAGAATAAGAAAAACTGTATCTAAAACTGCAGCTATAACAGGCTATCATGGATATGTAGCATCATTGTTATGGTATGTCATTATTTTATGGGGAAACTCCGTTAATAGTGACAAAGTCGTTAAGTTACAAAAAAAATGTATAAGATCTATATGTGGTGCTGGATTTTTGGACTCGGGTAACCCACTTTTTAAAAATCTGAATATTCTTCCTTTGCCTTGTTTATTTATTTACGAAATAGCAAAATTTGTAAAAAAGTATATGGTTCTATTTGAAGTGAATGGTAATAGCTGTAATTATAGGGGTAGATATAAAGATAAATTGTGTGTGCCACCTCAGAGATTGACTCTTTATTCCAAAAATACGTTTTGTGTGGCTATACGTAATTACAATAAGCAACCAAAACTCCTCACTAACATGACTTTAACGAAGTTCCAAAAACAACTACATGAATATTTAATAAATAAAATGGATAAAATTGGTAATGAAATTTGGGGGATGTAGGTTGGACGTTATATTTGTGCTAATTGGTAATTAAACTTATTCTGGGAGATGTAGGTTTCTTTGTTCTAAATGCCTTGTAGTTATTAATTTATGATGTTTGTATTAGTACAGCGCCATCTCGTTATTGGGTGTTGAAACTTCTTGCAGTTCGTCTTACTATCGATTGCTGTTACGATGCTCGTCTTTTCGCTATCGATTGTTATGGCGATGTCAGTGCGAAGAATTAGATGTCGCTACGTATCAGTTGCCACACTTGCAAATAAACAATTATTATTATTAGTAATTAAATAGCGATAGTATATTAACTGTACGTGTCTGTATGATTATAAAATTTAAAGTTATTATCTTGCTATTTGTTTCGAACGGACGTTAACCTTTCTTGTTGATTGCTGATTTTTTATAAAGATGATTTAATTATGAATATAAGTATAATATATATTTAATAATTGATCACAGATTTTTGTTATTATTATTTGCGAAAGGAAAACTTGTTTGCACGTTATACTTCGCACAAAAGTCATTCTAGCCGGAAGTCACGATATTTTGCTCGAATACCTTTACATTTGATACATATTGGGTAAGTATATAGATAATAAACGGATTTTTTAATTCTAATTATCGTTTTCATGACCTTTTTTGATGATTAATGAGCCCTATTCATTAATTAGCTTAGCATTAAATAAATGCCGCTTTTAATAATTTCAAGGCATTATTTCTATTGATTCCCATAACTTTTAAAAAACCTTCTCTATGCTCACTTTCATCATGTTAGTTTCCATTTCCGTTACACAAATAAAAAAGAAATTTATTCTAGGATTACCTACTTCATATTAATCGACATGCGTTTCGTTACTCAAACTAATTGAAATTCAACTCGATATTAATCAGAGCTACCAGATCCATAACAACACTGACAACTCTATTCTCTTTGGTTTACATAGAGTAAGGTAGAGTGGAAATATTTTCTATGGTTATATAAATATCATGCAATCTGAAGTTGACATCAAAAACATCATGTTGTCTTTTTTTAACTAATAAGAAGTTTCTTTAGTAAACAAAGATAACACTAGTGTGACAGTTCAAAATTTTTTACGTGACGTCATGAGATATAGCTATCGTACCACCTGCCAGCCATTTGCAAATTTGCTTTGCGTATTCTCGGAAGTAGTTCAGCTGTCAGTGTTATAAGTTTTGTGGTTATTTTCATTTATAACTTTAATTTATATAACTTTCATGGCAGAAAATTGTAAATTATTTATGCAAAACAATGCCTAGGTGCTGTATAAGTGGTTGTGCGTCATCAATATCCCGCAAACCGAGCAATATTACGTTTCACCGGTAAGTTAAACACTTTCTTGGAATAACAGTATTTAAAACGTAAGTAAGTTATTCTGAAAATGATTGCGTGTATAAATCGATACATATCGTATTTTGGCGTGTTCTATTTATGCTATATTGCTCTTTTCGTTTATATTTTTATAATATTTCGGTCCGTAAATAATATTGTTTACATGGCTAGTGTCGTTACTTTAACATTGGTTTATATCGATAATTTTAATATTTAAAAATATATTAATTATTTTAGATTACCAAAAGATGAAACAAAAGAGGAAAATGGCCGAGTTACATAGAAGCAGAAAAT